GTTTGAATTTCTTAAAAAATCTTATAATGTTTGCAAACGAATGAATAAGACCTATAACTAAATAAATAAATAATTTATTTTAAATTTACGTTCAAATGTATTATTTTTACTGCGGATGCAATGTAATTTAAAATGTTTATCGTTTTTTTTTTTTTTTTTGTTGAAATCGTCAGAGCTACTATAAGAATACAGTACATGTTTAGAAAATATTCGTATATAGTGTTAAAATATGGATTAGGAAAGAAATGAAAACATTGAAATGCCAGTTCGAGATGGGACTGGGTAACATCGTTTTTTCAGACATTTTTAACGGACCCCTTTCAATTTTCATCTTATACAAACTTTTAAATATGAAATATATTTGTGATGTTTTGGTTTAACAAGGACTGACTCGAATACGTATATTATTGTTATAGTTTACAATTTACACACCAGGAACGTGCATTTATAAATCGAAAAATATATTATATTCTTATTATTTCGTTCAAACAAATCACTCAAATATAGCATGTAAAATATATATCAAATATTAATTAAATATAAATATAAATAAAATGTGTGCATAAAAATTGCATTGCCTATTTCAAATTTAAAGCATGTAGTAACGTCATGCGTCAAGTGCATGCGCCGAATGACAACATCAAATTTGTTTATCAGGTGAATGTACTGTTTGTAAACAATTTGCTTTTAGTCTAGTATCATCTTATGAATGTAAGCGACAAGTTAATAATACACGATTTTCAATTTAAGTTTAATAATCATGCACTAGTAACAGTGACGTATTTACTGGAGAGGGGGTCCATGTTGGGTCCGTACCTTCCCTATTAGCCTATAAATACTTATTATTCTTATTACTTTCGTTTATAAATAAGAAAATTAAAATAAATAAAGTTTGGGTATACAAAATTTAATGTTTTAATAGAATTTAGCAAATGTTATTGGTACAAAAAATAACCACCAAAAAAACGCACGGCAAGAACACAAACAATTGGAGCGAATCCTCAAGTGTCTTCTGCAGAATATTATTATAGAGTGACAGTTTTTATGAAATATATTGATAATTTTATCAAAACCAACTAGCAACTAGATTATTAAATAATAAATTGATTTTTAATGAAATAGATAAGCAAAATTTTGATTATCCATGTTAAAATAAAACATAAAAAAAATAAATAAATTTAAAATATTAAATATTATGTTTTGAGTATACTTTATAAAGTTTGAATGTTCATTTAGTTCCACATGTATCATTTAAGAATTTTGTTGAATTTAATTTACTACCAGTTGAAAATGATAATTTTTTTGTTGAATTAAAAATATGGAAAATTAAAATAACCAATGAAGATGTTAACATCAAAAGTGGATTAGAAGATCTTTAAAGTTATTTTAAGTTAATTATTTTACAAATTACCAGTGTCAATAAAATATGAAATATCTTTTTTAATTTTGACAAGGTTGAAAACATATTTCAGATAAAAATGAATAAAGTAATCTTTTAATTATTTTGAAAATATTTAATATCTAACGTATAAAAATATAACTTATAACTATATTTTTAAATTTATTATAATGCAGAAAATTGACTAGCAATGATGTTTATTTATTGGGACATAAATCTAGATGTTGACAAAATCATATATAAATTGGCATTAAGTCCTAGAAAATTGGAATTTGTTTTATAAATGTGGTTTCTTATGTTAAAAAATAAATAAATATAAACATTAAAATGATTTTATGTTAATGCATTATAATAAATTCAATTTATTATTAAGTGTTATGCTGATGGATAGAAGAGGGCGGAAATCCCCACTTAAATGTGATTTGTTTTTATTAGTTGCCATTACGGCTGTCGATTATAGTAGACTCACCATTATTAATATTCTAATAATATTATACAATAAATATATTTTTATTTTGTACCAGCAAAACACGTGTTGCCGGTTTTTTTTTCACTCCGTACATACATTCGTGTATTGTGAGTTCGTAACTGTTAGCCTTTGCGTTGTATCGTTTTACCACCCCATACAGTGTCGTCCAACTACCGTGTTGCCCGTTTTCCGTCACTATGTTGTCCAATGATCTCCACCGTCGTTGTATCCTGTGTCAATTGTTTGTCTCTGCTGGTTCCTTTGTTTCATGTTCAACGTGGCAATAGTCCGCCAGCACTCGGAGTGTGTCTGTGGAGACTATCCAGGTCACCCAGAAGTCAAGCACAATCGTTACTATTGTCCCGTCCAGTCATCGGTGTTATAAGTTAGTTCGTAAGTTGTGACCCAAGCGTTTAGCATAAATACTCCGATTTGTATGCGAACTCTGTGGTCATTGCACCAAATCGGTTCGACCACAGAGACCACCTCCCCCTCCTGATAACTAAACTCTATTTCCTGTTCACCTGTGCGAAATAACTTGATTCCGTTCCATAGGTGCAACTAGAGCCCAAATATAAGAACTGCTAAAATTGCTGAAAATAAAATTAAATGGTATTTAACCGTAATTACTATAGATTATATATATATTATATTATAGATCTGAAAAAAAAAGGAGTGCTAAAAACCTTATTGCGCCCCCCCCCCTAGTTACACCTATGTTCCGTTCCTCTATTGCTTCATTGCCGTTTTCTTTTTTATCGCCACCGCAATTGACTCCTCTCAGTTCGTCGAGAGAAGAGGCAGTTAGATCCAGTGGCGTAATTTCAGTTTTTGATAGGAGGGGGCAACATTTTTAACCGATCCATACTACCGGGAGAAATATGAAGTTTCGCTCACACGTTTTATCTTATACTTAAGGCACATATTTTATATATTATATTATTATTCAGCTTAAATTTTTGCAAAATATAATTTTGTATTTTGTAACATTACTTAAACAAGATTATCTTAATCTAACTTAATCTAACTTAATCCTAAATTAATCTAAGCTGTAAGCCGATATCTTCTATTTTTCATTTTTAAAAAATACATCTATTACATTATTTAAACTGATTTTTGCAGCAATATCACTTTCAACAGTTATAACCAACAAATCACTCAGACGATCATTTCCCATGATTAAGCGTAGATAGGTTTTATTTAATTTAAGGGGGAAAAAAACATTTATTGGAAGCAGTTACTACAGGCAAAAATAAAAAATATTTATAATTTTAAGAGTTTCAGTAAAAGCTTTAGGAAGTGCATTTAAAATTTTAGAAATAGAAAAAAGATCATGAATTCCATTATCTCGTTCTTTATTAGAATAATTTAAGTTTTTTGGTCATAAGAATTCAGTTTGAATTATTAAATTATCAATTTTAAAATGACTTTAATGATTAAGGAAAGACAATAAATAGGGACTTTTTACATTAAAATAATCAGGACTAGAAGATAAGAAAATATTACAAGTAAAAATTATTTCATTGTTAGAATTGCTGAAACGATTGTTAAGTTCATTCAAAAATCTAATATTCTTGTAAAATGCTCATATATCTATTTATAGCTTATACCAATTGGCAATTACCAAATATTGTGGCAATAAATAATTAACGCAATATTTTAAAAATTATAAAAATACGCTTGATTTTTCGCAAATGACGGCTTATGGCTAAACTACAACTACTGGCCCTTTGAGATACTTTTTAATCAGAGAGAGGCAAATGCCCCCCTTGTCACCCCCAAAATGATGCCACTGGTTAGATCGCGTACCTAACATCATTTACGGTGGACAGTGCCGAATTAAACATTTGTTGGCCCCTGGGCAATTAAGATTATGGGCCCTACAAAATTTTTTTTAACATACATCTTTAACATTATTATCGAATAATTAAAATAAATATCTTTAATGATAACCAACTATTATTAATAAATAAAATCATATTCATTACATTTTTTTAATTTGCAAGAAAAATTAATTATTATTGCTGCTCCTATAACTTAACATATATTTCATATTGAATTTTATCCCGTAAATTCATAAATAAAATACAGGTATTAATAAATAAATTAAAATATAATTTTCCGTTTTCACAGAGCCTCTTGAATGAGTGAGGCCCTAAGGCAGGCGCCTACTACGCCTAATGGGTAATCAATCCGGCACTGACGGCAGTGGTTGTGTAGTTGCTTAGCTCATTTTTATTCGGGTAGCTCAAATCTTAATCAAAAATAAATATTGTTTTTCATATTTTCATTGCGACTGTTCCATCGACACACAAGTATTTTGTATGATTTATTATATAAACTTAAAAAAACAATACTTAAGTCAAAGATTAATCCTAAATAATTAAGCTAATTCTAAATAAGAATTTAAACACAATATTACACCATTTTCTTAAAAAATTTTTCTCTTAAATTTATTATATTTTATCTATTTAAAAGTTTTTACAAAATCGAAATAAAATAAAATACATTTTCCCGTACTTGTGTCTCTCAATTTCAAGTTCAAATAGTTAACTTTTTAAATGTTTGATTTGTGGTGATTAATATGGTCAATTTTCAGTGTTTATGCAGTTAGATACCAATAAGATACATTGTACATTATATAAATTTATTTTGTATACCTATGATACATAATATATAGTATATAGTATATACTATATAGGGTAAAGTGAGGTATTTTCGTGGAATAGGCATTTTCGTGAGATTATTTGTTAAACGCATAACATAATTTCCTATTATACGATCGATTTGAAAATTACATTGATCCTTAAAATGACTATTTTTAAGGATCAATGTAATTTTCTAGTCAATCGTGTAATAGGGAATCACATTATACGTTCAACATATAGTATCATAAAATTGCCTATGTCACGGAAATACCTTACTTCACCCTATTATGTATCATAGGTATACAAAATAAATTTATATAATATACAATGTATCTTATTGGTATCTAACTGCATAAACACTGAAAATTGATCATATTAATCACCACAAATCAAACATATTATATATTATTATATTATATTATTATTATATTATATTATATACTATATAATATGTACATCTATATAAGTACATCGTTCAATTGATTAAGTTACGTTGCGTACATTTGGATTTATCTTACCGTTTTATACGCAAAACGCAACTAAACATAATTGAGCGATATACGTTACATAGGTACATATTACACAGTATATAATATAGTAGATATATGAAATGAATTGCCGCCACTTGTATAATGTATCTTATCCAATTTGTCTTAGATTGTATAATTTTTTCGCAGCTTATCGTATCCCATTTTTCACACTACCGTCGTTCACTTTTTTCCCTTTTTGCCACCGCCTTTTTTCCCTTTATTTTTCTTGGGTGCCTTAACTTTAGTTTCTGGAGCGGGCGCGGGAGGCTGGTAGTCTTCCTCCTGGAACTGTGTGTACACGTCCATCGGCTTCTCGACCTCCTTTGGTAGGCGCACCTCAATCTGCAAACAGGACATGTCGTTGGGATCGTTGTACCGCTTGCTCAGCCGCAGCACGAACACGTCCTCGTCCCCGTCGATTGGTAACCCGGTGACCGGTCCCACGACCCGGTCGGAGGTCACCGGCATCGTAGGCAGCACTTGCATCATGTCCTTCCGCTGCTGATAACTGTCCTTTCCAGCCGTACCGTCCACCATCCCTGGCCGCATCTGATAGTAGACCGCGCCAATTGGCCGCCCGTGTCGGTCCGTTTTCGGCTTCACGCCTTTGGCCACCGCCTCGTTCACGCCCAAGTGAACCGTAGCACGATCACCCCGTAGACCCACTTCACCGGGCTTCAGTCGCATGGTGTTATTATCCTTCCTAGGGTAGTTCGCTTCCGGCTTCTTATCCTTGGTGCACAGCTTCCACAACGTCTGCGAGAATACGAGGATTAAGTATAATGTACAACAGGCCAACTATTACAACGCGTGATTCCCAATCGTTTTCAAATTAATAACGATTTATATTTTACTCACGTCCGGTGCGAATTGCTTGTCTGGAATCTGATTTCGCTCGTTTTTGGCGCAACTGTTGTTTACGTGACCGACATCACGTGTTTCGGGTGGATTTATTCCCGAAACCGGGCCCAGTGTCGTTTGAAACATATCCCTCATCTTTTCCAGGGTTTTCATCGTACACCGGATCATTTTCGCTTCGTCTCTGCAGCAGCCTCCGTCGGATGATCGCTGTTTATTAAAAGACATTCGTAGATATTGGTTTTGCTTTTTAAGATGTTTTAAATTTCCTTCTGTGTTGGTGTTGTTTTGGAATGACTAACTAATTTAATTTTCCAAATGGGTCAACTATTTTAACAATATTTTATTTCTATGGTTACTTAATATTTGCAGAAATCATATACATATTAATAGTCAGCATAGCCGAGCGCAGGGGAATACATATGCAGCTGCATACCCTAAACATAAAAATAAATAAATATCATGACATATTTGGTCTTTAAGTATATATTATGTGATTTTGTATTTCATTATGATTTTTATTATATTTTTATATTTAGTCCCAGACATTTTTATTTATTTTTGAAACTCAAATTATATACTATTATAATGATTTAATGTATTAATGAAATTAAGAAATACTATGCTCCAAAAGAGATTAAATAGCTTTTAACTCCAGAGCAATTACTGACAATAAATTAAAATTCAAAAGATATTAGTGATATTAAAAACTGAACTGAACGCAGAATTGTTTTATAATCAATTATAATTATTTATCAAATTTATTTTATTTTTTCATCTAAATATATAACTGATTACGTTTTTTTTATTTACTCTATTTAAATATATTACTCAAACTATTTCAAGTATTATGTATTTAATTTTTTTTTTTTAATTTATTTTAATTACGAAGACAATTATAACAATAAAGAGTTTTCTATTCAGTCATTTTTTTAGGAAAAAAAATTTAAATTATAAAATAAACAGTTATTTAGATATTTGTGTGTATATTTTTACATTAATTTTGAAAGCTTAAATTAATTTTCAGTTGTGGTGGGGCATCTTTTTGGATACCTACCCTGTAAAAGGGGTTTGCGCACATCTATGGTAGTCATTACATTTATTATTTATGAAATAAAAGGTAATATTTCATAATTTCATAAATTAACATATTTAAATTTCAACACTTATCACTCGAGTTATTAGGTAGTAGTGTACATATTTGTAGGCCTTGAATTTTTATTCATAGGGTAATGAAATTGTTTTTATCAGAAAATCCTAGTTAGTGGACGTTCAACGGGGACTAGGTAAATTGGGCCCGCAATATTTTGTGTACATTTTGAAAGCGGTAAATTAAGTCCCGAGAAAAAAAAAAGATATTAGATAAGTTGGGTCCCGGGGAAAAAAAGGTAGTAGGTAAATTGAGTCCCAACTACTCACTATACTACCTCGTCGTAGTCGTTTTACAAATGACAATTTACACTGTTTCTATCGGTTATCGATTCCATTGTGATCAAATAACTTCGTAATATCGTAACTTTGATTATGTCTAATTAAGATACGTATATAGGCATATATATATATATATATATATATATATATATATATATATATGTATATATATACGTACATTAGTTTGTCGTATATCGTGTGTTAGTTATCAGTTAACACCAATATTGATGATAGTTCTTATGATTATACCATAGGCGCCAGGTTTTCAAAAATGTATTGGGTGCTCTTACCAATGTCAAGCAGTGGTGCACACAGGGTTGTAGGGCGATAAGGGGTTCCGCCTCCCCTCGAAATTTCTCCGAGGCATAGTATGATGTTAGGGCTATACAATATTTATTTCTATAGTAAATTATTAATAGAATAACACCCCTCCCCCGAAAAAATCCTGTGTGCCACTGACGTCAAGTATTAAATGAGGGGCTTTTCCCTTCGCTCCCTATACTAAATTTTCTATAAACTGGTAACTGCAAGAACTTTGTCACTTTTATAAAATTGATGATAAACATAAAACAAAAAGGTTTTCTTATTGATACAATGGTTACGACTATGAACAAAATATATTGTACTGTTCATAGGCGTGTGCACGGGGGTAGCCGGGTGGGCCGCGGCCCCCCTGTGAACTCTGGCTTTTTCTTTAATAAGTATATATCTATACTATACAAGACAGCGAACATTTTTACATTTTACATGAATAAAGTAAAGCCAGTTTTAATCTTATAGTATAGAATTGATATCTGTGAATAAATGTAATAAAGTTATTAGTTATTAATCAGACTAATTAGAACTTGCATATAATATAAAAATTGAAGATGTAATTGATACATTCAAAAACCTTACTCCCGTGGACAGAAGGATGAAGTTGTAAATAGTATAAAAATATGTAAATAAGGATTTCTTAGATATAAATTGTACAAGTTTAAATAGTATTTATTTTTATGTTTGCATATTGAATTAAATAAATAATTTTTAAATTTAAAATATTTAATTATACTAGTAGTCTTTAGTACAAGAATCTTTGGTCCACTTTTTCAAGGGCCCCTCCGCGGACAAAGTTTGCGCACGCCTATGGTACTGTTACATGATTACGACTTACAATTGCTTGTTTTTGTGTATTATCCACAATTTAAGATAATATCTATATAATATATCTTAATTCGTGGTATTATCAGGGGGGTGGACACAACACGGTGGCAACGAAATCAGCGGTCATTTTAATTGAGGTACTTTTGTTATCAAATTATAATCAGTGATACTGATATTGGTTATTAATTATAATTTCATTTATGTGATCTACCAAACAGTGTGAAACATGGTGACCTACTGGGTACCATGAAGTTTTTACTTGTGGATCGTTTTTTAAATAGTATGTCTACCATAATACAGGCTCATGTGCAGGATTTCAGAATGGGAAGTGTTTAAAAAAAAAAAAAATTATAAAATAGATTCATCGATGATTAAATAGTATTAGGTATACAGATATTTATATAAATTCTTTAAGTATATTAAAAACGTTTATATCGATATAATACTATAAAATGCAAATCATTGTTGTAGTAAATTTACAAATACAACTGTAATACATTTACACAAACACAATTTATATTTTTTTGGTAATGATGGGAGGTTAGGAGTTGACCCATGGTCATACTATAGTATAAGACTTATAAGTCCCCCAAATCTCAAACTCTTATTGCACCTAATACCTTGGAAACATTTGAAAATGCGCAGTAGCTTATAAAGAATATTACTACCGTTTCATAATGGAATAAAATGTTACTAACTTGCTACTGTACCTCAAATAGAATGGCTGACTGATTTCATTATTGTCCTATGCTGTCCATGTAATTTGTTATCAGTGTCCATTCTGTTTTATTGTGGTATTATCTTATGAAAACATCGGGAGAAATCAAAATGTACAGAAAAATATATTGCATCCAACAAAAGAAAAAATTTTATTTCTAATTTTGACTAACAAGGTTTTTCTGTGTAGCCGCTGATATCATACAATGAACATGGTGATAACGGTTTACCTATTATAATTAATATATTGGCACCCAATGAATATTTTCAATGGGTACTCGAGCACTCGATGTACTTGGCACCTATGGATTACACACAGACACGAGTGTACAAAATCTGAGTATTTTCACTATATTTTTCGTAGCGTGCATTGCGTACTATACGTCGATTTGAATTTGTTAAATTCGTATCTTTTAAGTTTTTACTAAAAATTTAATTAATATACTAATAATAAAACACAATAATATTAAAATTGACTTCTAATAAAATTACTAGATATTTAAAAAAAATAATTTACCTTGGACTTACTACCTTTTTTTCCCGGGACCCAACTTACCGAAAAAAGGTTATTTCGGACTCAATTTACCAACTCCCACAAAACAGTGCACTAGTGAGCCCACATAAGTCTGTTCGCCATCGTCCACAGCAAATGGGTATATCATGAAGTTCTGTTCATCGAATTTCGAAAAATGAAGTTAATCTGCATCCATGTATGATCCAGTTGACACAAGAATTGAAGCCAACAGATCATGGCAAGAGAAGATTATTTGTAGAATGGATTTTGAGCCAACACAACGCAGACTTCGCCAGCAGGATAATCTTCGGTGACGAGGCTCACTTCCACTTCTCTGGGCATGTTAATAAGTAAAACCGTCAAATTTGTTTATGTAAATAACCCGCAAGTCATCCAAGAATTGATGGAAGGAATCAGGCGGGTAATTGGCGGAATCAGTAGAGAGATGTGTGCGAAAGTGATCACCAATTTCAACGATCGTCCTATTGCATGTAGGAATCGCGGAAGTAGATATTTGCTCAACATAATTTTTTATCATTTAATAGGAGTTGTTTATGGTTGAAATAATTATTTTTTTTTTTAAATGTCGATGTTTTTTTGCTGAGCTATTGCGTTTTTAAAATATGCACTTCTGCTGGGACACCCTATATTATTTATACCCATAAGCGAAACTACAGGTTAGGCCAGTTAAGCCATGGCCTGATCTAATACTGTCTGGATATCATACTGACTTAGTAATTAAAAGAATTTAAAATTAAAATTTAATAATTCATTTCCACATCTAAAATGCCGAACATCTACACACGAATTGCGTCCCGAAAAAAAAAATGATAAGCGAGTACACGAATTGCGTTCGGGTTTGTTTAAACGATTACATGTACGATGTACTTTAAAGCATATTATAATTTTAGTTTGGCCGTTAATTCAAATTAAAGAATGCAGGTTTCATTTAGGTCAAAGTTGGTGGAGGAAAATTCAAACGGTTGGTTTAAGTCAAGAATACAAAAAAAATTCAGATATCAATATTTTTTTGGTCTCCCATTTTTAAAACCAGATGAAGTGGAGGATTGTTTTACGGACGATATTGTATCAGTTTTATCCGAGGATGAAAAAGTACAGCGATTTTCTGATTATATATTAAATACATACATAAAGCTTGATGGTGACTTCCCGCCTTCTGTGTGGGCAATGTATTCATGCTCTATAATTCGAACTACTGATAGTTGTGAAGCCTTTCACTCTAAGTTTAACAGTATGTTTTACTTAGCACACCCAAATATATTTCAATTTGTAGATGTTTTAAAAAATGTATAAAAAGAAACTTGTATTAAACAACGAAGTGTTCATGTAATTAAAACAGACGGATGATGATATGTGAAAAAGAAGATTATTTAAGATAAAATATGAAAGTGGCCAATTGACCCTTCTCGATTATATTAAGAAGGTATCATTCAAGTTTTTACCAGTTTTTTAATTTTCTAATTTTCTAATTTTCTAATTATAACTTTTTTTCATACTGTTTATTTTAATTATTTTATTACATTTCTATAATTTAAACCTACATATTTCGTTTTACTTACATATAATTTCATAACAACGATAAAAATCAATATTTTTAACCTACCGATGGTCATAATTTGTTATCGACAGTCCTAAGTCTGTATGAAATGGGAAGGAAATTAATGTTTTTATGTTGGAACGCGATTTGAGCAGTCGTTAAATATCTTTTAGACACAATTCACGTGGGAAAGGGATTTCGGGACGCAATTAATGTGCAGCGAAAATGTCTACAATGTTCTGTTTAAATAAATAAATAAATATATAAATATATATGTATATATACGTAATGCTTGGGTAACACCACTTGAATGTATTGTATTTATATATGTTTATAATTTGGCCTGTTCTAATGAAATTATCTAGTTTCGACTATGTTTATATCCAATATTATAATCTAATGTTCAACTTAGTTTTTTCCACAGTTGATTAGGCGTGTTCAATCATAATTTATCATTATATGAGCATTTCAGTTTATAACTCAGTATAATAATACAATTGACAGTGCATCATAGTTTTGTTGAGATGTATGTTACAGTATATACCTGGAATCAATATCATTAATCCCATGTAGTTATATGCTGAAAAATGATTCACAAGTATTTAAGCAAGTAAATACCTATATTATTTATACATATCTGTCACCATCTAGTATTATTAAAATATTTGAAATTACCTATTTAAAATAAAATATTTAACTCATAAAATATTGATATGTGTTATAAATTGAAAACTAATTAAAAAATGTAAAGATTCTTTAAGTAGGTATACTAATATCTCGACAGTAGTTATGAGAACTAGTAACCAGTACAATAAGCGCAAAAAAGATTAAAAAATTTACTATTATAACAATATGCACAAACATTCATTAACATAAATGTAATGTTTTTCATATGGGAATCAATATTTTAACATTTCTAGGAAATATAACTGACATCGCATATTATTTTTGAAGTCGTATTGAGTCTATAATGATTTAAACTTTTACAAAGAGTAAGGATCCGTGAATTTTGTTACTATGTCGAAAGACTAAGTAGGTACAACGGTCTTATTAAGGAAAAACGAAAATAAATAAGTTACTCATTTTTTACCTTTTTTCAAACGTCGTTCATTAATATTCACTATTCATTTTAGTAGTAGTATAAAATTACTTACGACCTACCACTAATACCGTAAGTCCGTAAATGTAGCAAATTTGAAAAAAACGGTGATTCAACGTTCAATAACATAAATTACAATAAAATAATGTATTTAGAGCAGTATGATAAATTCATAAACACAAAATTCTCAATGACACAGATTCTCATTTTTGATGGTTGGTATTAGTTAAGTTTTTTTTTTGAGGTTAGAATTCTAATCAAAAATGCATTTTATCAGCTATAATTCTTATCACGGGGAACAACTACCCATCTCATACTTTTCATAGATTTACAATATTAATTTATTAATGTATCACGATACGTAATTAAATAATAATGGTATGTTCGCATCGCCGTATCGTGTAAATTAATTTATCAGTCGTAAGTTTTCTTGTCTTAAACCAACTTTTGTACAATTACGCGAGTCTACTGATCATTTACCTATCGGTTATTTTATTTTTTTTTTTTAACGATTTTTCAACTAGAACCATCGAAATTAAGTGCATGTCTGTTTCGGAAAACGCGATGGCCGACACTTCCAGTGATTTGGACGAGACGCCCAGCATCGAGTGTTTTCAAAACTACACCGCGCCTGAGGTATTCATACAGGGCATCGCAGGCATTGTCAACCAAGAAGACGTTGAGTCCATGATCATCGCACAAAAAGAAATGTTCGTATTGTATACCAATATATAATATAACTCGACATTGAATTGTTTTCGGAGACTCTAATTCAGACATAGACACGTACTGTAATCTAAGAAAAGTTTACAAATAAAATGAAAATCATTTTTAATGCTGATGCATTTTGAGTATTAAAAATTATTCTAGAGCTACTTTGACTATCGTTAACTAACACAACTCAAAAAACAGTTTTTCAAACTTAAATAAAATCTATTAAATTAAAAAAAAGTTTTGTCTATTTGATCTTAACAATATTTTATGTACGGTATGTGCAATTGAAAACTCATAATACTATTGTGATGATAAATAAATGTAGTCATTTTCATCTTGGTCATAGTCAATTTTTATAGAAATGTATAATGGTGTATAAAATTAGAAAACAATTTGGAAAGATAAATATTTTCCTATACTGATTTTAACTATTTTGTGTAATTCTATCTCCTAGGTATAATTAATTTATCTAACAACCATTGTATTTTTGTTTGATATTAGGTTACAGCGTTTTGAGAAGACCAATGAAATGTTGACCAATTGTAATTCTCTGTCCATGAGCCATCTGAAGACGACCAGCCAAGAGATAAAGAAGCACACTCAAATACTCACTGAACTACGGAAAGACTTGGACAGTACTTTTAAAAGAATATCTACGATGAAAACAAAGATTATGTCGCAGTATCCAGATTTACAAAAAAGTATAAATAATTGAATTTATAAAATTTAATAATTTGTTATTATATTGCATTTGAATTATAGGCATTTCAGAAGCAAAGAAAAAAGAGTTGGAACAAAAGCCTGTTGAAAGTTCGTCAAGTGGTAGTGCTAGTACAGCTTCTCCGTATAATTCTGATACTAATTGAATTTAATATCAATTTTTATTGTATTAAAAAATGAAATACTTTGATCTCATTATATTAAAAAAAAAAAAAAGTTGTTCATTTATGTTAATGGTACTATGTTATCAAACAATTTGCCATATTTATTTACTTAAGATATTTTTTTGGTTGAAATTTTTTAAATTTGTAAATAAATATGTACACAAATTAAGCTTAATTTGAAACACTAGTATTTATATCTAATAAGCTTATGCATAACTTTGATTGAGTGATGCCGCTAATAAGTCCAGATAAATCTCATTTTATCTATTAAAAAAACCTAATACTTTTGCAGTAACATATTAGTTTTATAAAAATTAAATAATTTTAAAATTGAATTTAAAACTGTGATATACTATCTAAATATTTTGACAATTTTTATCCAAATAAAATCTCAAATTAATTAAGTGAAATATATTTCATTTATTAAATCATACTTCTTTACTCGTTGATAATTATGTAAGTTATATAAATGAAGATGATTAACTGTATTTTATATACATAATGTTATATTAATTTAATATACAAATGTTACTTATCGTCTAGTTGTAGAATATGTAAAAACCGATTAAAAGTCTTAGTTACACTTAACCGTCTGCATAATGTAATACATTATAATATTACAAATTTCTATAATAATTCAATTTTAAAATTGAATTTAAAACTGTGATATATTATGTAGTAGTAGGCAATTTAGATTCATGTAAAATGAAATATTAAACAAACTAAAATTAACGTATATTCATGTCACAATAGAAAATAAGTTATCATAACATTTTAGTGTATAAAAAGATAAATGTAAAACATTTTTATACTATGTTCATTTGAAAAACGCTAATTTTAGCGTGTAAGCAATATGTGTAATTAGGTTAAGCTAGATGTATATAAGAGAAAAGACAAAAACCAATAAAGGGGTCTTCTGTGGTGGTTGTGTGACTCGACCACGATAGGAGACTTAAAATTTTCTTAAGTGTTGCCATGCTTCTACTTGTGTGTTTGTGTCTATACGTACGATTCAATCGGCGTATACAACAATTATCTAAATATTTTGACAATTTTTATCTATATATAATATCAAATTAATTTTGTGACATATGTTTCATTTATTAAGTCATACTTTACTCATTGATAATTTGATAACTATTAATTGTATTTTATATACATAATGTTATATTAATTTAATACACAAATGTTACTTATCGTCTAGTTATATATTATGTAAACACCGATCAAAAGTCTTTTTGTTACACATGTTTGCCTGAATAATGTAATACATGATGTATTATCAAACATCTATAATGATGATAAAGTATTTCCCAGATATAAATCCACTCATAATTATTAGAATCTCACATTTCAGTGCATTTTTAAAATTCTTTCATAGATACCAGTAAAAAAATTTTTTATTAAGGCTTTAAGTTTACATACAATTTTATAGACCATCTAATTATAGATTATGGGTATATGACAATATCCAATAAATTTACTAGCCTATACACACCCAATTTAACAATTTCACAGGTTAGACCTATATTTTAACCTTGGACAAGCTTTTTTCTTCTTCAAGTAAGAAATTATTTGTAACCAGAAACTTTTCTTCTATATTTAATTTGTATTAAAAATATGTTAAAGTATTGGTCATAGTGCTAGTTTAAGTTTAATATACATTTTGTATCTTTGATCACAATTATTTAACTATAGGCTATACCAATCAAATGAGTACTGTCTCTCCTTCATTGGATTGATATATATATATATATATATATATATATATATGTAATAAATAATAAGTCAAATAAATAGTTATGTATTGTTATATAAAACAAATGGTGTAATGCATTAACATTTTTTATGAATATTTAAACCATATGTAACAGTTGTTTGAATCAGTGGAAAACTATTCAAACCAAAGGGATTAAATAAATTGAAAAAATATTTGATTTTATAACTAGAAATATTATTGATCTTAAACATTATATATCTGTAATAAAGAACACATAAAAAAACAAATACAAATTGTTGTTAACATATAAAGCAAAATTAAAATAAAGATCCAGTTTAATATAAATATCACACTGGGAATAAATCAGTCTTTTAATAAAAACAAAGTAAAAACATATTGCCACACCTCGTGCGATAGAAAATTAATATGGGATGTTATATAATGACAAAATTACTACTATGCGACTGACCATAGCAGACATTATATTATTTTCTCACTATTTATTCAAAAACGGTAAAAGGACTGTGATATGTAGGTAAGGTAAAGGGGAGGAGATAGTATATTTTGTCTATCAAAATTGAACCATTTATATCTGTTCAAACTTTATATTTCCTTCTTAAAGTACTCAAACTCCATTCAGTCACCCCTTGTTCAGCCAAATCTTGTTGACCAGACTTGAGACTCTCTTCTAGCTTGTCAAACAGGTTACACAATGTGTCCAATTCAGTGGAACTCAAAAATTCAATAGCCAATTCAAATCTAAACAGATAGGTAGTGAATTAACTTAGTAAATTTGGATTCGAGTTTGTTGTATTATACCTTTTAGTTCCAGTGATTACATCTAGAAGTCTGGTAACTGCGACTATGTCGGGAACACTGTTTGATGGGAATATGAGAAGTGTTTCAAGCAACTCAACTAGAACAGACGGAGGTATTTCCTCGTTGTGGAATGTACTGGCTACATGTTCAGCACCGTGTAGGCTCAAATACTTGTATCTGTGTTTGGCCGCATTTAGGCGGCGAAAACTCACAATAAATTCTTGCACTTTAGGAGAACAAGCACTGGGTATGTTATCCTTGATGATATCAACATCAGAAATCTGACCACAAAAGAAAACAACACCTTAATTAAAACTTAACCACAAGATACATAGGTAGATATAAATGTGAACAGAGTATTATTCAACAGTTAACAACACACAAGATACATTATACTCACGGAATCGGAACTCTGTTTACTATTGTCTTGCATGTTGCAAGTGGCTACGTTGTTCCACACCACTGACGGGTTGCTTTTGCACTCAATCTCTTTCTTGGTCAACGGACGGAGATGAGCTGCCTTGACGATATCGCTGCAAAAACAACCATGGTCAGGTCAAGCGTACACCGTCGAAATAATCGATCTCGGGACTACTTTACCTGAATTCTTGGTATGTGGACACGTTCTTGACGGCTCTTAGCTTGGCGTCGTTTTGTTGCCAATAACGTACGTCTTTCTCCACATTGTCGATTAATTCATCTTCAAGACTCTTGAAGTCCGCAGAACCCATGAGACCTGTACGGCGGTGGTGGACGCGGCGACAATAACGAAAAACGACGAGCTCACAGACCACAGCGGATATAATTTTAATAATGAATAGCTTCACCTATCACTTGCCGAGATTTGATTAAACGCTCTCTAGGCTTTTGCGAGCTGATCGATTTGTTTTTCCATGAGTTGATCATGGAGCAAAATGCCGCGGCGGTGGTGCTTTTTGTTTATCCTGCTCGTCGTTAATCGTCGGAGAAATTGAATCAACCATTATTAATGTAATGTATCAGATATCCGTGGGTAAATGATGATGTCGATCAAATTTTGTTTTCAACTCGGTAATTTGCAAATATTTGTAATAACCGTTTCGTTTTCATAGAACGAATACTTTTCAAAAATACTACTAAGGTGTTTACCAAATATTTAGGTACCATACGTAAACGTCAAGATTTGGACCACGCAGCAAAGTTTCTATTTTACCAGCTTAATATTTTCTACAATTTATAATGCAGTAAGATACATTTCAAAATGAAAGCATACCGTTTCGTTTAACTTTGATCTTTTTAACTTAGGTACAGAACGTTTTCCGAACTTCGTGTTGAATTTGGACACAGCGTATCAAAATCTAGGCAACGTTGACAAAGTCGAAAAATCCACGAAACTGTAGTTTGAGCAGTCTAAATGCTAGTTGATTACGAGTGAACAATTGGAAAACGCTTGCGTAGATGAAATCGCTCGTAAATTTCTATAAGAATCTTATTAGAAATTTGGATTTTAAGTACAAAAATAAAAACATCACGTTTTCCATCGATATCTTGTGCTATGGCCGTTCATCGCTTAAAACGAATTAAAAACATTTATCCATTGCCCAATAAAATGTGTATCTGCAGTGTTACATAATCCTTTGTTTGAACTTTTGAAGAGTCATGAAAAAAACACGCATATCGAGAACAACGATATACTTATTTTGGAGACAATGATTTAAAATATTGAGAAATTTAAAAACACTCAGATTAATAACATTTTTTGAGCAATTCCGTTGATAAACAACGCGTGAAATCGGGTTTCTCCAATATCTCCAACAACTACAATACCGTTTTCCGCAACGGCGGGTCGATTATCAATTAACTTGAAAACGGGAACATAGAATAGTAGGGAAACTGTTAGTTTGACTCATTGACTAAATACTTGGAACAAACCGTATAACGTTACCGGATTAAATGAAAAAATATGGGGAACCGGTAATTCATAACTATTAGGCTCGGTACACACGTGCGTTATTTTGACGTGCGGCACCGCTGCGTCATCGTAATTGCGAGGCGTTCTATTTATAATTAAATTGACCGATACACACACGTCTCCGTCACCGCGCGTTATCGCACGAGACAAAAAATACTCCGATAACGCAACGTCAAATTATCATAAATGCGGCGTCTCATAACATAGCGATCAATATGATCGATACACACGTGCGAGTTTTTATCGTAATGGCTTTGAACACACAATTTGAAATTTTTGACATCGAACTTTTTATCACGGAAATAAAGAAGTACCCTGAAATTTGGAACTTGAGTTGTGAGTCATATCATGACAGGGTAAAAAAACGATCGGCTTGGATTAATATTTGCCGTGAATTTTGCGAGGGATTTGATGAGAAAGGAGATACAATCAAAAATGAAATAAGTAAGAGTACATATTTGACTTCGTATACAATTTTATTTATTTAATACGATACTAGAATACTATAAGAAAACTTCAAAACTTATGTTTTGAACTATACAAGTTTCTGTATATCTAACTGTTAATCTAATTTTGTATTTTTTTTATCATGTGTAATTAAATTATTAAATATACTCTCTTTGCCAAGAGACGCTACCAACATCAGATACAAAATAATTGGTAAACAAGTTGCGAATACGCGTTGATTGCAGAGTAGGTCTAGTAGTTGCTGTTCTGATTCCCTCATTATGTGCAAACTCTACACTCATGGCGTCTTCAATGTGAAATCCATCTCTAGTCCTCACATAGTTATGTAGACTGCAACATGTTTTTATAATAAGTTTAGCTAAATCTAAACTTCCGTTAATGGGTCTATGGAAAATTTTCCATTTGTTGGAAAGTATACCAAATGTACTTTCTATATTTCGGCGAGCACGGGACAATCTATAATTAAAAATTATTTTTTCTTCTGACAATATTTTTCCACTGTAGGGCCGCATAATGTGTTGAGAAATGGAAAATGCTTCGTCACCGACAAAAATATAAGGAAGGCTTAGATTTTCAGTTCCAGGAAGAGGTTGACTAGTCGGAACATTCAATTCATTATTTATTATTCATTATTTCATTAATACTTAAACGACCGGTAAGTTAGGTGCCATAATGATAGAAAAGGATAGAACATAATAGAAAATTCGGAAATTAAAAGTGATGATGGACGACAGTGTAGACAATTCAGACACACACGTGATGTCAGATGATTTTGATGTCACAGCGGCGTACGTAAGTAAATAACATTGATATAATAAAATGTTTATTTGTCTCATTGATGTTGTATTTCTGTTGTAATACTTGTACATGATTTTTTTTTTTATGCCACAGTGAAGGCGCTCTAATAGTCATTAATGGTATTTATGCAAAAATTGAACATAGTTCTAATAATAAAAATTACCCATCATAGTAAATCGTGTAAACACGGAGAATTTTTTTCGATTATGAAAAAATTAGTTACTTTAGTATTTTAAACATTTTAGGAAAAACTTAAATCAATTAAAGATTTAATAAAACTAATTATTCTGTGTTATAATATATATAAATGGGTAATATTTCTTACAATATTACTGCGTACTGCAGTTGCTCGGTGAATTCTCTTCTATAGTGGAGCATGTTTGATACAATATTTTAGGATTTTAGTGGTCTGAGATTCAGGTTAGTTATTAAAAGTTACTAAAATATTTGGTAAATATTTGAATATTTCTAAATTTAAATTTTTCACTTTGATTTTATATTTTTATTGCACGTACAACGAATTACTTGTCTGTAAACACAAATGTTTCATCACATGATCACATTTAGATTCTGAATGAAGCGATTGGGTAAGAATATTATGGTAATATAATGATGTTTGTATTTTATTTTTTAACACTTTTTTGGATAGAAATACTGGTCCAAAAGTTTTTTCTAGGAACTTTTTAAAGATTTTAAATTGGCATGTGGTGGTTCTTTTGATAGATAATTTTTTATAATATTTTTATATCTTAATAGTTTTTCCAGGCGTGATATAGCATGAACAATTGCATTTCTCTTAGCCAATTTTTTTAAATCGGGCAATCATGGAGAACAACTGAATAATTATTGCTTCCGTTCCTGTATTGCGTACCTGGTATTGGTGCACTAATAAAGGACTTTTTGAAAATTTAATTGTCAAGGGTTAGAACAGTTTTAGACTCTGAGCAGGATGCATACATTTTTTCACATTTTATTTACCAATAACAAAATTGTTAGTACGATTTTATTTCCCGATGATTTTATTTAAATGTCACTGAAATTATGTGCGCGTGTCACATCTAACAAAGTTTTAGATTGATTTAAATGATTAAAATATAGTCAATATTATAATTTTTTTTGTGTTTGATAAAATATTTAGAATTTTATTTGGTATAAAAATGTGCTTTTTTTTTAAAAAAAAAAAACGTATTTTATAAAGTGTAACATATAAGCAAATAAGATTTTGCCTGTTTTGAATCATGTAATAATTGATGATCAACATGGTTTTCGACGAAATAAAAGTACAATTACTAACTTACTTAACTTTCGAAATTTTGTATCTGACGCCCTTTCTCGTGGATCAAATGTTGACGTCATATACACCGACTTTGCTAAGGCATTCGATAAAATTAACCATCAAATCCTGTTTTCAAAATTGAAACAAATTGGTATTTGCGGCCCTTTTTTATACTGGATTATCTCCTTTATTGAAAATGGTCAGCAAATCGTAGTTTACAAAGAATTCTTGTCTATTCCAATATGTGTTACATCGGGAGTTCCTCAAGGGTTCCATTTAGCGTCAATACTATTCCTTATTTTTTTTAATGACATTCTATTTCAAAATTGCTCTAAATTAATGTTTGCCGATGATATAAAGATTTTCCGTACAGTTAATAATCAATGTGAAGCTGATTTACTTCAGCTTGATTATCTCTATGAGTGGTGTACTTACAATAATTTTACTCTTAATATTAATAAATGCCAATTAATGACATTTTATAGAGCTCGAGTAGTTTCTTTTTTTGATTATAATCTCAATGGTGAACCATTACTTCGGACTTTTGGGCCAATTAAAGACCTTGGTATTTATTTTGATCCCAAACTCAAATTTGACTGTCATATTACGAACATAGTTAACAGGTCAAATAAAATCCTTGGTTTTATCTATCGTAATTGTGCTGATTTCGATGATTCACTAACTTTGAAGTCAGTATATTGCAGCTTGGTTCGTTCTATTTGTGAGTATGGCTCAATAATATGGTCTCCATACCAATCGGGTCATAAACATAAAATTGAAGAAATTCAACACAAGTTCTTACGTTTCCTCTCGCATAAATGTTCCATAATTAGAGAACCCCATTCTTACACTCCACTATTAACGTTTCTTAACATCGAAACACTTGAACAACGTCGTTTGCGATTAGAATTGTATTTTGCCTATAAACTCCTTACAGGACTTATTGACTGTCCTGAATTTCTATGTCGTTTCTCCTTCCACTCCCCATCTCGCAACTCCCTAACTAAAAACACTTTTTATCTCAACACCGAAGTAACTAATTACGCAAGCAATAATCCTCACAATAGAATTATGAAAACTATAAATAAATTAAATATCGTTATGTTCATTTCACCAAACTTTAACTCATTTAAATTGTATTGTAATTTATTTCTTATTAATTCATAGCTTTAAGTATATATATTAATTTATATTGTACATTCATTGTATATTTTTTTTCTCTCTTTATCTCTCTCCTTATTGCTTTTTATTTATAATTATTAACCAGTAATGAACGATTGTTATTATTATTATTATGTATGTAATTGGGCTTGGCCCGTTTAAAACATTAATAAATAAATAA